TGTGGTGTTGCTCAATCATCGCCTCTGTCTAGTTCTAACACTTCCCCACTCCCTGTACCGGGAATCAAATTCAGGACCTTGCGCTTGCCAGACTTTATATTTTGTTGTTTTTTTGGTACCGGGGATCAAACTCTGGACCTTGCACTTGTGAGGCGGGCGGCAGAACCACTGAGCTAAATCCCGGCCCTCCGCTTTGTTTTCTTTGTGGCATTTATGTTCTCACATGTATTTATTTACGTGTAATTGTTTAGCTGCCTTTCACTAGGTCAAGGGCTTCCTCTTCTTTGTTCACCCAGAAAAGGTGTCTGGAACATAGTAGCTGCTCACTAAATGCGTGAAGAACTAATGAACTGGATTCATTTCCAGAAGGAGAATGCAGTTAACAGAAGTGTAGCCTGTGGGAAGTCCTTCAGCTGGTAAGAGGAAGATTCAGGATCCTAACACACATTTCTCTGACAGCATAACTCAGGATATTAACAGGGCTGTCTTGTGAACTTTATATCTTGGACTTAGAACATCCCAGAATGTTAGTTGTTTTTTTGTTTTTGTTTGTTTGTGTGTGTGTGTGTGTGTGTGTGTGTGTGTGTGTGTATTTTCAAGATACAACTTACAAGGGGGAAAATTCATATGCAGAGAAGGGAGAGGGCTCTAGGTTTGGTTCGTGGCAATGTCAGGGCCAGACTTATGTTTCAGGGATGGATTCTCCGGCACACAGCGGACAGTCAGTAAACACAGGATGACTGGCATTCAGGGCAACTTTACAATGAAGCTCACGCAAGTTTCAGGGCATCTGATTTGCACAGGCCCTGCCAAGACCCTCAGAAAGACCTTGTTGATATGTTCTTATAGTCTGATGTTTTATAAAATATGCAAAGGGAAGATATTTAAGGTGCATTTGGTGAAGACCAGTTCTTTTTCCTGTAGTACTTCTTTGTTGCAAATCCCTTTGCCCTGGGTGATGTGGGAGTACCCTCAGGGATTTGTAGACTCCTGATTGGGTTTGGAAAGATGTTTTTCGTGTGGATCATAGACACTGCGGTTACGGGTGTACCTAAGCTACCTAACTAGTTATCCTGGTGTAGAAAGGGCTTCCAGGAATGCTCCAATAACTCACTAAGTGTAAAGCCCCAGTCTGGTGTAGCATGATTGTGTCCTCTTGTGGACACCCTGGAAGCACCTGTGTAAGAGAAATGAGTCAAGAATTGAGGTTATGGAGCCAGAAGCTACTCTGTGGAAACTGTTTCCGAAACATACAGCAAACATGAATTCTCCAGAAAAATTCTCATGATATCACCAATGCTATTTGGAAGCTGAAACTTTTTTTACATTGTTAAAACAACAACAAAACAACAACAACAAAAAAAAACAAAAACGGAAAAAGGCCCATTGGCCAAGCTAGAGGTAAGATACTGTCTTTTTTCTCTGTAGATATATTATAAAATGTGTATGAAGCAAAAAGTAAGCCTATCAGGAACTAAATTAAAAATAGCACATTATCTTTAGGGATTTTTACAATGTGGTATTTGTTAGCTCTTCTAAATACGTATGTACTTTATTCCTACTCATTTATTTATCCCTACTCATACCCTCTGGTACTGAGGATAGAACCCAGGGCCTTCGCACTGAGCTACGTCTCTAGCCCGTTTTTATTTTGAGACAGGATCTCACTAAGTTACTACATTGCCCAGAGTGGGCTCGAACCTGAGACCTTTCTGCTTCTACCTCCCAGAATGCTGGGATAACAGGCTTACACCACCATGCTAGGCTACTTCATGTTCCGAGGAAATTTTCATGCTCATACAAGATTTTGTTTGTGTTTTTACATTTTTAAAAAGAGGGCCCGCCCCCTCAAATCCATAAACTGGATCCGCCGGGTGGATGACTTATCTGTGTGACCCGGGCTGGCGTCTGTATCTTACGGAGCCGGCTTCCTTAGTGGCTAAAATAATGTTCACTTTTCCGGGGTGTTGTGAGCTTTAAATAAGCGAAGGCTTTCAAAATGCTTTGTGCAGAACCGGAACCCACCGAGCAATGAGAAACCTATTTAGCCTTGACCAGCAGCCAAACTCTTCCAGGGCGCGTGCACACCGACTCTCCATCAGCACCATTTCCACGTGGGGGCGGAGTCAAGAGCCTGTTTCCGGGATCCTCCATCCACCCTTCTCTAGGGAACTACTCTTTTGTATGACTGGCAGCATTATTAGCCAGTAATGATTGGAGACGAGAAAGACGATAGGGGGCCGTTTAGGAACGCCTCTTCCAAATTGGCCAGTTGCAAGGTTTGGAGGGCGGGTTCTCCTCTGGGATGGGACAGAGTGACGGGCGTCGTCTTCAACCAATGAAAACTTGGATGCGGGTAAGCCAAGCCAATCAAGAGTGGGAAGGAGCCTGGGGCGGGGCTGGAGTGCCGGCGGTTGAACCGCTCGCGAGGAGGGGGTATCCGTGGAGAAGGTGAGAGGCTGCTGGATCGCTGGGTGCGCGGGCAGCGGCGACGATCTTAGGGGGAGGGGGCTCTCGGGGAGGGTGGGCTTCGGCGGGCAGCTGACTGGCAGAGTGGGAATCAGGACCGGGTGCTCTTTAACATGAATAGACGCTAGAATGAGGGGTTGTGGGGACAGAGGTTTGTGTGTGTCTCGTGTGTGTGTGTGTGTGTGTGTGTGTGTGTGTGTAGGGTCTCGTAGGAGAGACTAACGGGGGAAGTCAGTGCAGGAACAGCAGATGATAGAATACAGAGCTGCTGACAGCGTTGCGATTTAATAGGAGTTTTAAAGGCAGAGCATTATTGCAACACTAACTGGGAGGGCAGCGGTTCCCCTTTCCATTCTAAACTTTGACTTGGGTGATGAAGAAGCAGTCTTGAGAGGGAGGAAGGGAGGCCCTTAGGAATGAGGGTTTGCTTTGATGAGCTGTGAAGCCGTACCATACATGTACTGATTACTATGTGCAGACATCTAGCAAGTGTTTTACATTACTAATACTATTACTAATAATATTAATAATAATGTGCCGTGGTGGGGATGGAACCCTGGCTTCTTCCACTGAGCTACACTCCCAGACCCTGAATTAACTACCTGTTAATTTTCCTAACAAGTCCTATTAGTGGTTAAGTGTGGGCTCTGGCTTCTGGTGGCCCCAATTTGAATCCTAGTCCTGTACTAGCCCTGAAACTAAACGTCACACTGGCTTGGGGCAAGTTGTGAACCCTTCTGTGCCTTCTTTTGGTCAGTGGTAAAAGGACCTCAACTCTTCTCTGTGTACCATGTGCTTAATAGCTTCAGCCTCTGCCTCATGTTGACTCCTGGGTGTCTATACTTTCAGCCTGGATTTCTGTCCCGAATTTCAGGCTGACGTCTAATGGCCTACTACTCCTCTTTAATTGGAAGTCCAGCTGACATCCAGACGTCAAACTAACTTGTGGTCTCCTCCTTTCAGCCTCTAAACCCAGCTGACGGCAGGTCCTTCTTCCAGGCCCTCAGCACAAATACCCTGAAGTTGTCCATCCCTCCCACCGTTTCTCTAGCCTGTATGTGTGTGATCTGTTTTTCACCAAATCCATTAGCTTTATCCTCAGAACATCCAGAATCAGGTGCAGTGGTGCACATCTGTAATCCAGTTATTCAGGAGGTTGAGGCAGAAAGATCACAAGTTTGAGGCCAGCCTGGGCAGCTTAGTGAGACTGTCTAGGGTCGAGGGGAGGTCTGGGTGTGGGTGTGGCTCAGTGGCAGTGCTTTCAACCCCTGGTACTGCAAACAAAAACAAACACACAGATCTAGGATCCAGCCAGTTTCTCAGCACCACTCTTGCTACTACTCTGGGCCAGGCCATTTCCTGTTCTTACCTAGTCTGTTGTGATCTTACTGGGCTCCCTGCCAGTGCCCTTGACGCCCACAGACAAGGGGGTTCTGTTGAAATAAAAGTTAGATTGTACCACTGCTTTCTTCTCTCTCCTGGCTCCTACTTCACTCAACAAGAGTCCCCACGGTGCCCACAAGGCCCCCAAGTGATGCAGCTTCCTCCTCTCTCCTCTCAAGTCTCCCCCTTCCCCATCTCCCTTGGTCACACTGCTGTAGCCACCTTGGCTCCCTCACTGTTCTCTGGATACAGCAAGTACAGTGTCACCTCGGGGCTTTTGTACTTGTCTTCGTGTCTTCCTCCTCCTCCCCTTTCAGTCTCTGTTAACATGTTAACTTCACAGACAGGCCTTGCTGACCACTCAAGCTAGACTACCTCCTGCCCCTCCCTGGCTCCTTGGCTGGCTTAATTTTCCTTCATGACTCCACTACCTGAAATAGATTGTTACAGCCACTGAAGTTCTCAGACCTGCCCCCCTTCACTGGCTCCGTGTGGCACCTGCACCCGCTAGGGCACATAGGTGCCCAGAGCATCCTCTAAGCAAGTGGTGGTGGTTTTATGGCACGAATGCCACAGCCGGCTGTTTGTTATCTTTGGAAGCCCTAAAAGGTTCTCCATCACCACCATCATTATCACCCCTCCTTGGATCTCCTCAATGGTTTACACAGGGTTGCTGAGCTGGGAGGGTCTGTGTCAGTTGGTGGGGTCAGGGTGGGACAATAACCTGGACAGACTGTGGCACCCAAGGTCAGAGGGTCTCAGATTTAGTCCCTGAAGGAGCTTGTAGGATTTAAATAGGCTGGTTCAGAGTTTGGGCTGGAGGGAAGCGACTTCACTGACTCATCAGCAGACCCTCTGCTGAGCAGTGTTGGGGACACTGAGGACCCAGCCTGGCAGGTGGGCTTCCAGGAGGAGGGGGTGGAGCTGAGGGTTGGACGGTGACCAGGAAAGAGCTGGGAGGAGACTTTGGTGTCTCCTCTATGACCCCGTTCCGTGGCACTTCCGGTTACATTGTTACTCTGTCAGGACAGGGGACTGAAAGTACAAGAATGATAAACCGGCTCTGCCCTAACAGCTCATGGCCTGTCCTCTGAAAAAGAGGTCACACTGTCGGTAACAGGAGTGCCCTTACAGGGCTGGGCTGGGGGCTCCCAGGGGCGGTGATTTGGCCGTGGCTGCTGAGGGAGGTGGTGGTGTGGATCTGTCTTCGAGGAGCTCAGCATGGAGAGAATTAGTGGGCGCTGTGAAGTCTGTGAGCATCCCGGGAGTGAGATTGGGGAGGAGGAGCCAGGGGCGGTGATGTAACCCTGGAAAGCCGAAGGGGTCGCCTTAGTGAGAGGGGACAAGGAGAGGACTGGGGCGGGGAAATTGAGTGCGCCTGAGCTGGAGCCTTGTGGTCCTGAAAGCCGGTGTCAGTTCTGTGGGCCACGGTGGGGCACTGGGGCGTCCCCGGGCGCTGGGCTGGGCGGTGACGTCACGGGCTGGCAGGGGCGAGGCCTCGAAGGCATCTGGGGTGCCCGGCCCGGAGGCTGAGGCAGAGAAGCAGAGCTGGGAGAGACTTGGGACTGGAATGGAGTCAGCCACCAGGATGGGACACTGGTCTCAGAGCGAGCTCGGAGGATGCAGGTAGAGGGAAAGGGTCAGGGAGGGAGGGAATGGGAGCCCGGGCCGGCGGAAATCCCAGAAATGGGAGGAAGGTGCTCCAGGAGGGGATCTCGAATGGAAGAGAGGTGGGACGTGTGTGTGCAGGTGGAGAGGGAGCTTTGAATACAATTTGGAGGGAATCCAGGTGAAATATGGGCGGAAAGCGGGGTGTGCGTGGAGTAGAACCTTGAACAAATAAATATGCGGGTAGAATTCCGGCAGAATAGGGGGGGGGGGGTCGATTTCAGGTAGAATATGCAGGGAACTCTGGGAGAACGCGGGGGTGCTGGTGTAGGGAGACGCAGCTCTCCCCAGCCTGGGAGAGCAGGATGGAAATAGGGGATGCTGTGGGGAGAAGGGGCTGGTTTCTGGGGAGCGCAGCACAGGGGAGCAGGGCCGGAATGGTGCAGGGAGGGGTTTCTGCAGAAGGCGGGGCCTGGAGTCCCGCGGCTGTCTAGGCTGCGAGTGGCGAGGACCAGGGCTCAGGCAGGAGGGTGGAGCCGGCAGGAGTGCGGGCTTCTTTCGCCAGCGGTCGGGCAACACTTTCGAGCCAGAAGGAAGTGTGTGTGCGGGTGACGGGGAGAGTCGAATTCAGGCCGATAACTCCGAGGCCGAGGTGGCTGGGTGAGAGTAGGCGTCAGTGGAAGTGGCAATGAGCTGCTGCTGCGGCGGGCGAGAATGGGGGCGTTGTGCGGTGGCGGGGAAGAGGAGGGCAGGGCCGGGCGGGCGGCAGGGATGGAGTGTGGCCGACCCCCTTCCTCCTCGGGCACGACAAGTGGGGGCGGCGAGGCTGTGCTGCCTCTCAGGTGTTCCGCGGTGCCGCCAACTCCTTAGTAACCTCCCGCGCCTTGGTAACCGGGACGGCGCGGCCGCTGATTGGCTCGCAGAGTGGGTGGGCAGGAACTGTGGGCGAAGTCTAGAACTCTCGGTGGGTTGGGGGCCGCGCTTCCAGACCACAGCCTTGGGGGCCAGGGTAGGAGATAGTTGTTGAAACGTGCAGCGACTTGTTTGGAGCATTGCCTGGGATTATTAATTTAAGCCTCCTAACCCGCATAGAGTGAAAGCATAATTGCAAGAGTGTGAGTTTTCCGGGAGACTAGGCTCCCCAGGTTTCGTGAGCCCCTCCAAAAAGCAGCAGAGAGGCTCCCTCCAAATAAAGATAAGAGCTGAGATCTGGAGGCAGAGAACTGCCTGACAGGACGTGTGGGAATCAGGCGGTTTCCTTGGGCTCCTGAGAAGGGGCGGTCTGGGATTGACGGAAGGGGTTTGCAGAAGTTGCGGACCTGTTCATTTGTCTGAGAAGAGTTCAGAAATTTCATTTAATTCTCAAAGGCTAAAGGACTCTGCAAACGTTACAGTCATAGAGTTTCAGGCTCGTCTATCCTGCCTCACAATGCGTTTTCCAGTGTTAGACTCTAGGAAGAACTTCTTGGATAAAGTGTAGGACTAAAGGTTAGGGGGAGAAGGAGACCGGGGGTCGGAGTCGGGGGAGGGGGTTGGGTGTCCCATGATCTGGGGTGGTGGCTCTGTCCTTGCAGCAGCTGTGGGACGCAAGACAGAAGTCCTTTTCTTGCCGAGCCTGTTTTCCCATCTGTAGGCTGGAAAAACTGTATAAGGCGTGTACTTTCCTTTTTCCTGTGGTCTCTTTCAATATCAGAAGCAATAATAGCAATGATGATAATGCTAAGATGAATTGAATATTGCTGCGTGTCAGGCATTCAGTCATACCAGTGCAAGGGTGTGAGCAGTTACTGGGTGAGGCTCACAAAGGCCGTGTGAATGACATCTGCACTGGGACATCTTGGATCCCGTCACTTAGCGTCCTCAACCCACACACTCTCTTCCAGCCCTGCCGACCTCCTTGCTGATTTTAGGGAAAAACCCTGGAAAATGCCACCTTGAGCCTTTGGCTAGGTACTCTCCTTCTGATATTCATCTTCCTCCATCCTTCCCTCCGGCCCTCCTTGGCTAAGAGAGCAGCTCTTTCCTCCATCACAGCCTCTTAACCCACTACATGACTTTGCGCATGTGTGTACGTGTGTGAGTGTGCACACACACACGTGTGTGTGTGTGTTACTAGGGATAGAACCCAGGGCCTTTGCATTGGGCTACACCCCTTTTTAATGTTTCATTTTGAGACAGGGTCTTACAGTCAGTAAGTTGCCCAGGTTGAGCTTGAACTTGCAGTCCTCCTGCCTCAGCCTCTCAGAGTGATAGGCTTACAGGAGTGTGCCACCATGCCCGGCTGTGTACATTTTAATGCTTGGGACTGTTTGCTCCTTTCCCGAGAGCAGGAGCATGGCCTGTTTTCTCATCACATCCGCAGCACCCAGGATGGTCCTTGCTCTATGGCTCTAGACCAGCTCGTGGAGGGGTTAGGAAACTTGCAGAAGAACCTGGGTAGGAACTCAGGCACTGCTCCTCATGCAGTCCTGGAATCCTGGGTGGGCAGCAGAGGCCTGATCCTCTCTTCTAGCTCCTTATAGTAGCTCTGCTGCCTAAAAGAAGTTGTTTATGCATACAGCAGACTAGTGAATCAAATCTGATTAATTCGGTGAATCACCGATGCTGTTTGGCACCGGCCGTTTCCTGGATTTGGAGCACATGGCTGTGCTCTCACGTCCCTCAGCACTCTGCTCAAGGGTCACCTCCTCCGAGAGGCCCCCTACGGCTGCTTGAGCCCTGTGCTCCTCCTGTGCTTCTTTCTAGCTTGGTTTTCCCCCACAAATGTCTGCTGCATGAATGAATACTAATCGGCAGTATGAATCATGATGCTCTTGGTGATCACATATTTCTACTGGACAGCATGTGTTGGACATACTAACGTGGAGGACATAATTCTTAGAGCTTTTATGTGTGCTGTCCACTTTAATCCTCAGAACACGTTTGTGCCGTTATTATACCCATTTTCCAGATGAGGAAGGGGGCACAGACCAGTGAAGCCATTAGCTGATGAATGATGGATCCAGGATGTGAATCCTGGTTTTCCAGCGCAAGAGCCTGGGCTCTCAGCCCCTCTGGTCTTTGCCTTACCGCCCTCTCCAGTGAGCCGGGCCATGGACCAGCCAGCCGGCCTGCAGGTGGATTACGTCTTCCGGGGTGTGGAGCACGCTGTGCGGGTGGTGGTCTCGGGGCAGGTGCTGGAGCTGGAGGTGGAAGACCGGATGACAGCTGACCAGTGGCGGGGCGAATTCGACGCCAGCTGTGAGTTCCCCAGCGCCTGCCTAGGGTGGGCTCACCTCTTTCCCGAGGTCGGCTTCTCCCAGAAGGCAAGGCCAGCTGGAATCCCGCCCTCTGCCTCTGCTGTGTGACCACAGTGCGCCTTGCGGGTGGGACAGAGGCCTGTTCCTCGCGGAGGTCCTGCAGCTGGAAAGCTTGGATACGCTGACCTTGGGCTGGGCAGGTGGTCGGACCTCAGGAGGGACTTTTCTTCCCACCTAGTCATTGAAGATTTGACTCACAAGACAGGAAACTTCAAACAGTTCAACATCTTCTGCAACATGCTGGAGTCGGCCCTTACCCAGGTGGGGACAGGATTGGGGGTTTGGGGGAGGTTTCTGGCCCCCAAACTCCTGGCATGGGTGCCCATCTGATGTTTGCAGGCCCCTCTGCTGTCCTTTTCATTGAAGGGATAGGGCTTTTTCTTGTCTCTCAAATGTAAATGGCTTATTCTGGCTCTCATAGTAGTTATTTTCATGTAGACGATTCATACCACAGAGAAATGTACAGAAAGTAAATATCCCTCCAATTCTCATGTCCATGCTTGTTCATATTTGGGTGAAAAGCACTCCAGCCAATTTTTCATTTCTCTGTGTGAGTGCCTGTGTGTATATGTGTATGTGCGTGTGCGTGTGTATTTGCAGGTCTCTGATTACACATAGTTGATATACTTTCTTTTCTTTTTCTTTGTCTTTTGAGACAGTCTCACTATACAGTTCAGGCTGGCCTTGAACTCACTATGTAGTCCAGGCTGGCCTCAAACTTGCAGCGACTCTCCTGCCTCAGCCTCCTGGGTGGCATAGTTGTCATTTTCCAAGGTATTCTGCTTCCTGCTTTGAAAAGATTCAGTGATATTTTATAAGAATTCAGTTACAGCCATGAGTCTGGCCATTCATGGCTTTGTTTTGCAGAGCAATCGCAGTGTTGTAGACATGGAGGATATTGTGGTGAACCAGAGAGACAAGATCTCTGTCACCTTGAAGTTGACCTTCTAGGGGGAGACACAGAACATCGGAAAAAATTTTAATATCAGGTAGTTAAAAGTATTAATGGAAAAAAAAGCAGATTAGAACATGGAGCGTCGGGGATGATATTTGATAGTACTCTACTTTTAAACTATCAAGTATACTATTTCTCTGATTGCAGATAAAATGCACCCTTATAAAGCTGAAGACACTAAACTAATGTGTGGCTTAGAAAGTGACAATCCTTTAAAATCCCCCTTTCATCCTTCACCCAGTGTATATAACCTCTTAGAATCTACAGGCAGTATAGCATCATGGCCAAGAATTCAGACTGCGAATTCAGACTCATCACTGTTACTTCTAGCTGGAAACCTTGAGCCAGTTGCTTCCCTGTAGTGCCTTAGTTTCCCTATCTGTAAAGTGGGAATAATAGTAGCTCCCATTTAATAATATTCTGACGAGTAAATGAGTTATTGCATAGAAAAAGCTCAGTATAGGGCCAGGGATTTAGCTCAGTGATTCTGCCACCTGCCTCACAAGCACAAGGCCCCAAGTTCAATCCCCAGTACCAAAATAAATAAATAAGTAGCACAGTATAGTGTCTGGTGAATAATAGCTACTACATAAGTTCTGTTTTTATTATTATCAGCTTTTGAATTTATTCTAGGTGTTAGTGGTTGCTTACTATTTCCTTGTACACATTCATCATCATGTATCTAACTCAGTGATTCTCAGACTAATGTGGTCAGTAGTATTCTCAAATACTACTGAGGACCCAGAAGAGCTTTTGTTTATGCAGATCATATCTATCAATAGTTATTTGCCACATTGGAGACTAAAACCAAAATTTAAAGATCTTTATGAATTCACGTAGAAATAACTGTAGTAAATTTGTTCCATGTCAACCTAAATATCATTGTAACAAAAAATATTTTTCCTAAAACAAAAAACTAGCAAGGGCGATAGCATTGTTTTACATTTTTGCAAATCTTTTAAATGTCTGGCTTAAATAGAAAACTGCTGGAGTCTTATGTGCTTCTGCATTCAGTGTGATTTGATTGAAGAAAATGTAGAAAACTCCTGGCTCAAACAGACAGACAATTGGAACAGGAAGTACTGTAATAGTGTGTTCAAATACTTGTATTTACTGATACACTAAAACTGGACAAGTGTAATTTCTTGAAGGTTAATGGCAATGTGTAATCGAACTCCTATCACTATGTTGAAACCCCTCAATGTGGGCCAGGGATTTAGCTCAGTGGTTCCGGTGCCTGCCTTACAAGCGCAAGGACCTGAGTTCGATCCCCGGTACCAAAAAAACAAAAACAAAAAAAGAACCCTGGATGTATCTTCTACTTCCCATGGATCTTTTTCCCCTGTGTGATTTTTGTATCATTTCTACAGGTCATTTGAGAAATACCGGTTCACTGAGTTGTACAGATCTTCAGAATGTTGACCCATTTCATTATACAGTATTGGAGGGTGACATTCATTACTATCCCCAGTGATTTTACCAGCAGTCTTGAACATGGTGAAGCCATCAGGTGCACAGTGACAGGCACACATTTTCTAAAATTTGAATTCAAATTTAAGTGCAAAGCTTGTGTGAATATCATCGACGACAAATCCCATCGAGAGTTCTTCTTGATGAGATAGGCTTCCTTGGTGCATTTTTGAGAAAATGCCTGCCGACTTCCCAAGGCTGAATAACGTCATTTGACTGTTGGTTTACCTTTCCGTGAAGAAGTGGCTAATCCGGCTCAGAACTCAGTGACCCAGGTGCTTCTGCTCAGCATACTGTCACCCTGTCACCCTTTAGTGTGAGCAGAAGTACTTTGTGTGTCCCTCCCACTTTCTTGTGCATTCAGGGGTTGTGAATCACTAAATTAATACTTTGTATTCTCTCTCTCTTTTTTTTTTTTTTTTTTTTTTTTTTTGGTACTGGAGATTGAACTGAGGGCCTTGTGATTGCGAGGCAGGTGCAGTGCCCCTGAGCTAAATCCCTGGCCCAATACTTTGTACTCTTTCATCAAGAACATTTCTAAGCCAGGTGTGGTGGTGCACACCTGTGATCGCAGCACTTGGGAGGCTGAGGCGGGAGGATTGCTGAGCTCTAGGCCAGTCTGGACTGTATAGCAAGGCAGTGTCTCAAACAAAACAAAAAACCCCAGAACATTTCTTTTTCATTTCCTGCCTTCAGTTTGTCTCTTTATTTCTCCCTCCTCCCCACCCCCTCTGAGCCTGCATGGCAGTGGCGATTAGTGGCCGCTGGCACCATTTGATGCCCCTGGCATGAGTTCTGCTAAGGCCTCTGCAGGTTTACCCAGCTGTGTTTTGGGACCATTAGCGTGGTTGTCACCACATCGAAAGAGGCACATGATATCTTGGTATGATGAAAATTGTTTTGACCTCATGGACTCCCCGAGAGCATCTTGGGGACCCCAACCACAGGCCCAAGATGTCGCCCATGGCTGAGTGCTTAGTTTCTTTCTGTTCATCCCTCTGAGCACGTCCTTGTCCCCTGTCCCTGGATGCGGCCTTCCTGATCATCAGCCCATGGGCCTGGGCGCGGAGGCTGTGCGCACTGGCTGTGGCCATGCGGGACCTGTGGCTGCCCCTCCCCTCCTCTCCCACAGAGCAGTGAGGCAGTGACTCTGGACCTGCTGACCTACACAGACCTGGAGTCTCTGCGGAACCGCAAGCTGGGTGGCCGCCCGGGCACCCTGGCCCCCAGATCAGCCCAGCTCAACTCCAAGCGCTACCTGATTCTCATCTATTCTGTGGAGTTTGACAGGTGGGTATAGGGAGTGGCTTGTGGAAGCCCTGGTGTCTGGTAATGTGGGAGGTGAGCTTTAGGCATCCTCTTGTAATCTCTGGGTGGGGGTTTATGTCTCTTACTATTGTATTTTGTTACCAGTAGCAGAGTAACCATTACTAGTGCTTTAAACAAATAGTAGTCTATCATTTAACAAGGTGTCTAAGTAGGTAGCTGCTACACAGCAGTTCCATGAAGGACTCAGGCTTCTTTTTTTTTTTTCCCCCTCTTTTTGCTATATGTGTTGATGTGTTGGCTTTTTGACTTCATGAAAACAGCTGCTGGATTTGTATGCATTTTATCTGTATCAGGGCAGAAAGGAGAGGGTCAGGGCTGGTTTCATCAGGAAAACAAAAGCATTCTCAGAAGACTCCTGATTCATTGCCCACATTTGGCCACAGGTGGTCCACATGCAAAGGATGCTGGGAAAATGAGTATCTGGCTTGCTACCCTTTCTTGTGGGAAGCAGCAAGGGAGAAAGGACACTGGGGGCTGCTCTAGAGGAGCTGGTGACAGTGTCTGCCTTGTTTGGTAGTAGCTCCTGGAATTCCTGGGGAAGTGGCCCAACCTCTCTGAATAACATCTAGGGGGCACCTAACTGGAGGTGCCCTTCCCCCAGTCCAGGGCTAACCCCAGTCTGGCCGACCAGAATTCCCCATGTGGAGTCTGGATTAGTGCTGTGTCTGGCTGCAAGTCACACGAGACCAGTGTCCACTCTGCCAGTGGTGTGTGACAAGGAGGTTGCTCAGGACTGTGCCTGGGCTGTCTGTCCTGTGGCCTCAGAAATGCTGCCTCAGAAGCTCCTGGGGCTGAAGGTCTGGTGCAGGGGGCACGTGGTGGGCAAGGACCGGGATGGAAGTGGAGGTCAGAACGTGAGGGTTTGGGGATTTTGTGTTTTTGTGCTTTGTGGCTCTCAGAACCCAGTTATTGCCCTCGGGCGGGTTCCTGGCCTCTGAGATGCTGTGGTTCTAATCCCTCTCCTCAGGATTCACTACCCGCTGCCCCTCCCATACCAGGGCAAGCCAGACCCTGTGATCCTGCAGGGCATTATCCGGTCGCTGAAGGAGGAGCTGAGTCGCCTTCGGGGGCTGGATGCCTGGGACACGCAGGACACGCGGGACACTGAGATGTGGCACCTGCGGGAGCAGTGAGTCCGGCTGTGATGGAGGGGGGCACCCCATCGTGAGCTTTGGGGACCCACGGAAGGACAGCAGTCCCGCGCGTACCCTAACCCTTCTGAGTCTGCCTTTTGTTGGGTGACTGAGGCAGCCCCCGACTCCTGGTCTCCAGGCCAGCGGGGGAGACAGCTCTGGTTTGGAGTTCCGGGGGTCCTTACCCTGCCTATAAGGGAGGGGTGCTGTTGGCAGAGGGAACTGCGTGTGGACAGTCAGGCCGGGCGGTCGGGCAGTGTCTGGTTTTAGTCCACCTCTGCCAGGTGTCTTTTTGACACTGCCCATCCTGGTGCAGCTGGATGTTCGTCCCACAGCCACCTGAACGTGCCATTGGAAGCGGGTGGGTGAGGCAGGAAAGGGAGCTGTAACGGTGTGATGGGTCCTGGGGGTGTTAGGTGAGCAGAGAACAGCGCATGCCACGCCCTGTATTAAGTGGAAACACAGAACAAGGAGAAGGACTAGCGGGAAGATGAAGGCTTTTGGGGTACGTACCGGCAGTTTTCCTAATTGAACATCCCAGCGCCCTGTGGTTGCCCAGCTCCCCAAGGCGCTCCCACTGGGCCTGTGCTTGGTGGCATCGCCCTACCGCCTCCCTCTTCCCCACCCGCTCCAGCCTTTGCCAGTGCAGCTCCTCTCCCTGAACACAAGCCCCCATCCGGCTCCTGGACTGAGGGGCTCCGCTCACCCGGGAGGGCTGCCTGGCTGCGTACACTGCCATCTTCGGGCGAGCTGAGCCGGGGGTGATACGTTTAGTAGTAGCAGTAACACCAGTAGCTAAGGTTTATTGAGCGTTTAACTGTGGCAGGGACCTTGCCCTGTGCTCGAGGGTTGAATTCATCTTATCCTTACAAAGGCCTTAGAAGGCAGGTACTGCTGTCACCGCCCTGCTACAGAAGCCCGGAGTTCCCCGGCCACAGGGAATATCATGGCCAGGCTGCATCTGACACCCCGCAGCCGGTGCCAAACCCGCTTGTGTCCCCAGCCATTCTGTACTGTTGCTGGCTGCTAGCCTGAGACTGAGCCGAGTGCTGGCCTTCTGTCATGGGGCCAGGGAATCCTTGGCTGTGCACTGCTGGGTGGCAGGGGAGGAAAGGCACAGTGGTACCCGAAGGTGGTAAGCAAGAGAAGCTCCATTCTGTTTGTCGCCTGGATCAGCCCGGCTCTCCTGGAGGGGCTTGCACATGTGCTTCCCAAGATGGCCACAAGGTGGCGCCCTCTGGCCTCTGGCCTCGGTTGCAGGACTAGAGAGGGTGACTTGAGATCCCACAGATGGTGGTGTCTTGTTATTTTCCTCTTCCCGTCCTGGAGTTAGGGAGTTTGGAAGGACTCCAAGGCTCAGTCACTCATTCATCCATTCATTCATTCGTGTGCCATCTATCAAGTTCATGCACTGCCTGGCTGCAGTTGATGTTTAGCAAGCATTTTGTGCCAACTGCTTTTTGTAGATTCCTATGGCCGCACAGGAGGTCTTACCATCATCATCCCTCCTTACAGATGAGGAGACCGAGGCCCAGAGACGTGACGAGGAACTGCTCAGGGTCACCTAATAGATGGGGCAGATGGGATGCAGGCAGCTTGGCCTGACCCGAGGTATCTATACACGGAGACTCCCAGGGTGGGGAGCCAGACAGCAGGCAGAGAGTCACCCTGACAAATGCTACCATGTCCGGCTGAGCTCTGCAGGTCCCGCAGCCAGGCAGCCCTCCCGGGTGAGCGGAGCCCCTCAGTCCAGGAGCGGGATGGGGGCTTGTGTTCAGGGAGAGGAGCTGCACTGGCAAAGGCTGGAGCGGGTGGGGAAGAGGGAGGCGGCAGGGCGATGCCACCAAGCACAGGCCCAGTGGGAGCGCCTTGGGGAGCTGGGCAACCACAGGGCGCTGGGATGTCTTATCCACCAAGCACAGGCCCAGTGGGAGCGCCTTGGGGAGCTGGGCAACCACAGGGCGCTGGGATGTCTTACTAGGAAAACTGCCAAGCAGTCGCGGAAGTAGGCAGCAGTGAGCACACAGGCGCTGCCCCTCCTCACTCACATCCCGCCATCTTTGATGACCTCTTCCCTTCTCCCTCGGGTATCGTGTGTTCTGCACAGATGCTTCGGTCTGCACCCCTCCTACGTAAAACGGACACAAAGAACACAAGCGTGGTTAGCATGCCGGACACAACCACCGTCTTCTAATTCCAGCTGGCACCCGGTGTGCACGCATTCAGACTTCTCTGTTCTACACGCGTCTTTTTGGATTGGTTTGCTTGTTACTGTGTTTCTTAAATCTTTCCCAGCCCCTTCCTCGTGTGGGTTATTTGTGGGAGAGAGCAGAGTCGTTGTCCTATGAGTTCCTGTGTCCCATGGGTGGGGACGGTTGAGCTAGTCGGTTGGCTTTGGCAGATCTGGAGTCAGGCTTTGGGAAGACACCTTCCTGGCAGTGCTGTGCACTTCCTGCTGTCCGGGGTTCTGACACTGGTGAGGGGAGCTCTGCAGAGTGGCGCCCTCTCCTACAGAGTCCGCCCAGCCTGCCGCCCCGGGCAGGGCTTCACACTGGCTGTCCATTCGAATCACCCGGCGCGCCCGCCAAGATCAAGAAGCCCAGGCTGCTCCCAGCAGACCGGGTGTATCAGAAGCTCCCCGGGGGGAGGTTCCTGCCCCCTCTTGCCCGGATTTCTCTCTACTTACTTTTCTTACTGTGAATGAAGTGTCATGCACACAAAGTATAAAATATAAATGTACAATTTAATAAATGATCACAACTCTGGCACCTCTGCAACAGCTAGACAGGCTTAGAAGCTGAAAGTGGCCGTTTCCCCAAAGCTTCCTCTGATTCTCACTGTGAAGAGATGACTTTGCCACCTCACTGTGCGTCTCTAAACAGAATAATTCAGTTGCATCTCTTTGCACTTTATAGAAATGGAATTAAATCCTGCGTCACTTTTTTGTGTGTAAGATTCTTCTATGATGTTTTGTGTAGCAGTAGTTCATTCATTTTGATTGTTTTTTGTTTGTTGGTTTGTTTTTTGAGGCAGGGTCTCACTACGTAGTTCAGACTGACCTGGAACTCACTATATAGCCCAGGCTGGTCTCGAACTCACAGCGATCGTCCTCTCAGCCTCCCAAGTGCTGGGATGACAGGCGTGCGCCACCACGCCCGGCTTGTTATTTTTTTCACTGAATTAACCCACCACAATGTATCTGAGTATTCAGTGGGTACTGGTAATTTTCCATTTGACTTGGGTAGATACCCAGGAGTGGAGCTGCTAGGTGTTCCTGTAGGCTTTCCTAGGTAACACCAAACCCAAACTGTTTTTTTCAAAGTGGCTGTAACCCTTTACAATTGTGATTGTTATTTGCGTCTCCTTGAGTTTGAGCGCCTTTTCATGTGGTTCGCAGTCATTTGTGTTTTCCTTTTGTAATCTGTCTTTTCATCTATCCTCTTCCGTTTTTTCTCCATTTTCCAGGAGTGTTTATTTATTTTGCAGTACTGGGGATTGAACCCAGGGAGCACTGAGCTACAATTCCTAGCCCTTTTTATTTTCTTATTTTGAGCCAAGGTCTTGGTAAGTTACCCAGGTTGATCTTATGATCTCCCTGCCTCAGCCTCCGGAGCAGCTGGGATTACAGGCTGCCCCGTGCGCCCAGCGGAGCTCTTTATATAGCTTGGTCGTGTCTTTGTTGGCTTTATGTTTCAGAAACCTCTTCCCACTCGGTAGCTGGCCTTTCCATTGTCTTAGTATTTTAATGAACAAAGAGGCTTGAAATTTTTATGCAGGCTAACTTAAAATAATTTTTTAATAGAACAATTTAAAGACAGCTGGCATCTTTATAAATAGTATTCCAGTCTATGAACAGAGTATAACTACATTTACTTGGATTTTATTTAGGGACTCAGTTCTATCTTTTTTTTGTGTGTGTGTGTGTGGTGCTGGAAATTGAAAGCAGGAACTTCATACTCAGTTGAGTTGGAGTAACATCCCCTTTCCCCTTTCCCTGTTCTCTACACATCCCCAGCCCATCTTTATTTTTCTTTTTCAGAGAGGGTCTCACTAAGTTGATAAATTGGTAAACTGTGACCCTCCTGACTCAGCCTCCCCGGGGTGCTGGGATCGTAAGTGTGCACCACCGTATCAGGCCTCTGTCATGCCTTTTGTTAGATCCCCTTGCATATTTGCAGGCTTTTGTTCGTAAGTATAGGTCAGTGATGGTGAATATTTTAGAGCTTTCAGTGATAGCAGACAACCCACTCGCTGCAGCATGCGTGCCTTCGGATCACCTCCATGGGTGTGGTTTGTAGTGATGTTTGTATAAACGCTACATATTGATTTTTGTATCTAGTTACTTCAGTCAGCCTTATTTCTAATCACTCATGTGTAGATCGTCTCTTTGATTTCTTTTTGTGTTCATAATCATCTCGTTTGAAGACGACTGTTTAATCCATTCCCTCTCCGTCCTTACCTTTCATTTATTCTTCCCTACTGGGCTGGGTGGGCCCTCTGGTGCTGCAGGACGTACAGAGAAAGTAGCCACGGCTGGTGTCCTCGTCCATTCTCCACTGCAAGGGTAAATTCAACATTTTGCCAAGAATGTGCTCATCCAAATATTTTTTTCTTCCTAATTTTACTTTTTAGGCAAAGTGATAGAATGAATTAATTTGGTTTTAACAGCTGTTGTTGACCACTGGCTACTCTGATTTTTCACGAAGGGCCAGTAAATTTGATGATCTAATTTTATAATTCTTTCTGCTTTGTTAGCTGGAATTTTCAATAAAAATATCCTGTTTAAGTATTGGGTTTCCCTGAGGTGCATTCACACAGAAAAGGTGTGATTAATGCTTTGACTTTTTTCTTTTTCTTATTTGTACTACTGGGGACTGACCCCAGGGAGGGCTGAGCTGCACCCCTAGCCCTAATTATTTATGCATTTACTTATGTGTGGGAACTCAAACCCGGAGGCGCTCCACTACTGAGCTACCTTTCAGCCCTTTTTGAATTTTTATTTTGAGATGAGTTCTTCCTCTAAATTGCCCAGGCTGCCTTTGAACTTGTGACCACGCCCCCCCCCTTGGTGGTGGTACTGCGGATTGAAGCCAGGGGTTTTGTACTGAGCTACATCCTCAGTGGTTTTGATTTTGTTCCTTTAAGAGAGTTCTGCTAAGACGCAGACTGGGCTTGATCTTGTGATCTTCCTGCCTCAGCTTTCCTGGTAGCTGAGATTACAGGCATGTGGCACCACACCTGGTCTAACACTCTTTTATTTAACTTTTGTCAGAATAATGAGTTGGTTCCCTCTTACCCTACATGCCTGGGTTACACAGTGAGTTCAAGGCCAGCCTGAACTACATAGCAAGACCCTGTTTAAAAAAAAAAAAAAAAAGTGAATAAAGTTTAAGGCTTCCTTGCAGTTTTTTTTTTTCCTTTAGGCTCTATCTTACTTGCTAACAAATGTGTTTTAGTTACCTCACGTAATTCTCCGGTATTAACACCAACTCTGATGTACAGTTAGGTTTCTTTGAGCCAGTTTTCTTTTAAAAGCATCAGCTAGGTTTGGTGGTTGTCCAGCTACTCAGGAGGCTGAAGCAGGAGGATTGCTTGACCTCAGAAGTTAACCTTGGGAGGAGACGAGGGCGCCCT